TTGTCAAATTATATTGAAATCGGTTCAGATTTGGATATAGCTACCATATATATTTTCGGCCGATTTCAAGCATTTGATGCACCAAACACGCTATGCATCCCCAATTTCAATGAAATTTGAAACGTGTGATAGATTTTATCTAAAAAATTGATTTCCCAAATTATATTGAAATCAGTTCAGATTTGGATATAGCTCCCATATACATTTTCGGCCGATTTCATGTATTTGGTGGACCAAACACGATATGTATTTCCAATTGTAATGAAATTTAAAATAAGTAACGAAATCGGGAGCCAAAATGAAATTGTCAAATTAAATTGAAATCGGTTCAGATTTGAATATAGCTCCCATATATATTTTAGACCGATTTCATGTATTTGATGCACCAAACACGCTATGTATCTCTAATTTCAATGAAATTTGGAATGTGTAGCGGAAATTAAAACAAATATACATTTGTCAAATTATATTAAAATCGGTTCAGATTTGGATATAGCTCTCATATAAATTTTCGACCGATTTCATGTATTTTATGCACCATACACTATATGTATGTTGGATTCCAAAGAAATTTGGAATATGTATCGAGATTTTGATTAGAAAATAAATTAGTCAAATTATATTAAAATCGGTTCAGATTTGGATATAGCTCCCATATATATTTTCCGACGATTTCACATATTTGATGCACAAAACACGATTCCATTCCAATGAAATTCGGCATGAGTGGCTAAATTTGGTACAAAAATAAGTTTGACAAATTATATTCAAATACGCTCAGATTTGATTATAGCTCCCATATATATACTCATCCGATTTCAAATATTTGATGCACCCAAAGCGAGGGAGATAAAATCTGGCACCAGAAAAAATTGCCAAATTATATTGAAATCAGTTGAGGTTTGCATATAGCTAACATATATATTTCGGCCGATTTCATACATGTTATGCACCAAACATGATATATATGACCGATACCAATGAAATTCAGAATGTGTGGCGGAATTTGGTTACAATAATAAATGTGACAAATTAATTGGAAATTAGTTAAGATTTGGATATAGCTCCAATATATATATTTTCGGCCGATTTCACATATTTGACGCACCAATTTCAATGAAATATGAAAGGTGTGGCGGAGTTTGGTGTAAAAGTAATTTTTTTAAAATTTCGCAATATTCATATCATATTTATTTAGGTTTTGTTTACGAAATAGACAATATGGGTCCATTGCTTCGGAACCTACTCCATAGAGGGTCAACAATGTGAATAATCATAACGGAAGTTAACATATATTTAAATAACCGAAAATTGGCGGAGGGTCGGCAAAACCGACTGATATTTTATAATTTGTTAATGTTAACATTTATGAATTCCTGAATATATTCATTCCATCAAATTTCCAAATGTGATAAAACATTCAAAATATCATAAATTTGTAGAAATGAACGAGCAATTCGAACGTCCTTGATACATTCAGGTGAATAACCTAATCGCGTGGAGAAACTACTACCGTATGAACTTATAATAAAAACACTAAAATCATCACTTAATAATAATTTATTTATATAATAAATTTGAAAAACACACCGAATAACATTGACCCCGACATTTTTCCATTTAAGACACACAGACACAAGTTTTATTGTAAACAATACATACATATGTATCTCTTCGAATTAGGAGATGATTGTATTGTAGATCTCTTTTTTCCTCTTCGAAATGTTTGCAACTTTCCAATTCTCTTGCTTCATTAATATTTTCACAGCTGAACAAAATCGGTAAAAGAGTATATTTAAGAGAAAATTATTTATTCGATTTCCTCAATATTTTATGATTTATTTCAACTTTTTATGAATATTGTCTAAAAAGGTTTATTATAATACCCATTGAAATAAATAAACAAAAAAAATATTTCGAGGACACTAAGAGAAATGTTTGGTAATTTCTCATATCTTATATTTATGACGTATTCGATAAAAGAAAAGTTGGCCGCAGACTCTTCGTTTATTTTGTTTTGATTGTCTCGGTTGTGGGTGTTTTGGGGGGTGCTGTGTGAAACAGTTTTCATTTTCGTTTAAAACGAAATATTGTTTATTTTCTCGAACAAGACCCCGGTAGCAGGTAATCAAAATGTTATTTTTATTGAAAACAATGATGTCGTTGGGCGCCAGAATTGAGTACTACATATGTTTATTATTAATTGTGTAATTAATATGTACGATTTGGTATGTAAGTGAATGTAATCAAGTGTACTACGAAATGAAATATTATTTGTTTTTATTATGAAATATTTGACATATTTGCTCATAGAAAATCGTTAGCCAAAATGGATGACAGTATCATATCCTTAACCACTTCGGCCATTTCTGCAAAGCACAGCGTAAATCTGGTTCATTCCAACAGTTCGCACTAGGCCTTTTAGTACTCAAAAAACACAATTTATTTATTTGGACAAAATTTTTTTTAATCAAAACTTCATACATCGCATTAAATTTCCTCAGACTTTAAAGGTTTTATCGGAAAATGTTCACATTTTACACTTAAAAGTCTTCAAAATCATTAATTTTGAAATTTACCGAGGAGGATGTTAGGAAAGCCATTGTACAATGGACCCACATCCAATTTTCTGTCTAACTCTATTTCAACGCCTTCATATGTAAACCCTACAAAGCAACAGCGACCTCAGTGTCACATTTCAGTTCTATGCCTTCACCAAATACCAAAATTAGTAGCACTACGCTTTATTCAAAACAATCTCTATACCTTAAACTCAGATACCAACAGTAGCATCTATATCAAATTTGAGGATTCCAGCTTTATCTCTTCACCCAACACCAAATTTAGCACCATTTAGTTCTTTTCTTACATTCATAGCCCGCATTCCTAAAATCTTTTTATCATAGATATCAACAGTGATCCAAATTTATTCCTATTTAGTATTTTACTACAATTACAGGGTGAGATAAAAAAAACTGCAACAGAGTCAAACGCCATAATTTTTAAAATTTTTTATTTTATTTGATGAATTTTTATTGAATAAAAGAAAAAAATGTAGGAAATAGCATCAAATTGGAATTGGTCACCTTTGGAAAAAAAATTGTGGCCTTAAACGGCCAATGAAACCATCAAACGCTGCCCAAATGTTGCTCTGCGGTATTTTGGCCCATTCCCGGCGAAGCGCTTGCTTGAGGTGATCGACACTTTGGTATTTTTTAGTGCCAACCTTTCTTTTCAAATACTCCAGTCACAATAGTCCTACGGATTCGTATCCGGAGGACTATTTTGGTGGCCATTGTGCGCTGGAAATGAAGCGAGGAACCTCATTTTGTAACCATTCGTGGGTGACGCGTGCTGAGTGCGATGGTGCTGAGTCCTGTTGGAATGTCCTAGGCTTGCGGCCAAAATGTTTGCGTACCCAAGGCTTTAATACACCCTCCAGAATATTTTCGCGATAATATTCGGCATTTATTCTGATGCCACGGTCGATTAATACGAGCGGAGAGCGACCATCGGCTGTTACGGGGGCCCACACCATCACCATGGCCGGCGCTTGAGTTCTGGTGGCCAACCCAAGGTGCACATTTTCAGCTGCCCTCTTTGGCAAGTAAACACGATCATTTTGTTTGTTTACAAACTGATGGACAACGAATATTTTCTCATGGGAGAAATGTAATGAACTGTCACTGGAATAATTTTAACAGCTGTTGGACGAGTGGCTTAGAAATGACAGCAGTTTTTTCATCTCATCCTGTATAGTACACATTTCCTACACATGAACCACCAAATTTCAGATTCCATGCACTTTCACCCAATACCAATTTGTGTAAAATACGATACTATTTGGTACTATTTGCACTTGTAGTACACATTTACAAAAACCCCCTCTTTACCACAAATCTACCACCTTGTTGGTTGGTTTAAAACTTCATCCGTTCACCCTAAACCAAAATGTTTCAAATTTATTACAGTTCGCACACTCAGTACACATTCCCAAAACCACCTTTCCAACCTTGATTCTTATGCCAAATTTCATATCCGTTCATATAATTCTAAATGGTACCATTTTATAAGTTTAGTAATATTTAGTACATCTGTACTACGCTCCAACATGACTCTCATTCCAAATTTTAGAAATATACGCACCAAGGCTAGTGCAAAATTGCAAGATTATAGCATCATTTTCGTTTGGAGTTGATTTTCAGTCATCCAGTCAGATATTTCACTACTTCCGGCACCTTATATTACGTATTTTTGTCGTATATTACTGATTGGCTGAAGATTGTTATTTTAAGCTGTTAATTGAAACATAGTCTTCTAGAATAGAACTGTTCCTTCCCACTTTCCGTATTTTACAAGCTGCTGGACAAAGAATGTTTTCTCATCGGAGAAACCCAAATTCTTTGCCCCTTTGCTCTTTTGAGTCTATTTTCTTCCTGTTGCGATGTAAGTTCTTGCACTTTTCGGGATTTCAATGACTTTACCCCGAGCTCATTTTTCAATATTTGGCGAATGGAATATTGCGATATCTTCAGCTCGCGAGCCAATATTCTTCCACTGCGACGCGGGTTTCGATCAAGTCGCTTCTTTACTTTTCGAACCATATCTGCTGATTTTCCTTTTTTCTTCCGTCCACTTCCTTAACGTCGGGCTAAGCTACCAGTATCACGGTAACGAGCCATGGTATGAGACACAAAAGAATTATTCACATTTAAATGCTGGAGTGCTCTAACGATAGCCACTGTCACGCTTGAATTCCATCACGAATAACTTTTTTTCCGGAAAATTCTCACCAAAATGCATTTGTTCTCTTGTAAACAATATAATGAGCTGTCACTGGAAGAATTTCAACAGCTGTGTTGCTTAGAAATGACAGCAGTCTGAAGTTGTTTGCAGCGTTTTCATCCCACCCTGTATACTGGAGCATATTCAAAAATTGATACTAAATAATGTACTTCTGCTATATCCTAATAAATCATTTATTTTCCAAATTATTTCAGCGCACAGAATATGTCAAATATGCCAAGGTATTTCCTCTAACGGCACTCTTCGGCGTCAAAATTCCCTCGAAATGGTATCGACGTTCCGTTGGCGTCCTGGAAATTGTATGTGGTCTGGCCATGGCACTTATTCCATACCGTAAGCCAAAACTCAAAGGATGAAAGAAAATTCAACTAAATTATGTTATCTTTTTCGATTTTTATTTTTACAGATAAAGTTAAAAATGCTGCCAATATTACCCTCTTAGTATTAATGCTGCTTGGTATTTATCAACACTGGATGGTTAGTGATCCGTTTGAACGTTCCGGACCAGCGTTGGTCTTTACATTCATGTTGGGTGGACGATTAGTCGTTTGGTATCAGGTAATGTTTGGCAAACAACAAAAATTTACTTCTTGATCTAATTTAGCTTTTTTCTATTTTACAGACTAGCCGCAAAGAAGCCGAACAAATCGCCCAGGCGCAAGCACAAACAAATGGTGTCAAACAGGACTAAACATTTAATTTATGTTTTTGATACAATATGCGCCTGCAGACGTACATATTTGGATACGGGAGAAGTAGATTCATAACAAACTAAATTTTGTTGTGTATGGTCTCACACAATTTGCAACTTGGTTTCTTCGCCACAAATCAATCTTGACTCAAATTTTTAAAAAATTGTTTAAAATACACAGAACAGTAATAATAATTTCAAATAAAAACAGCAACAACAATAGCATTTCGTACTATTCACAGTCACATTTTCACACACACACAAACACAAAATTAATTAAAAAGAGTAAGAAAATAATAACATCATTGAACACTTATAAAGAAATAAAACTACGAATATAAAAACAATGTTCAATAAAAACTAAACACATGGATGATTTGAGTTTTTTTATTTTGAGTTGGAGGCATCAAGGCCTATTTATATATTCCGCAAGATAGCTGAAATTGTTGTTTAATATGTTTAATTAAAATGAAGTGTTTTGACGGCATATGAAGAAAGTAGCTGGTCTTAGCGCGTGACCTTGTAAATACACCATGGGAAACAATAATCGATTGATACTAATAGTTTTTTTTATTCAACAAAATTGAAAAACTCTAATTCCTTAAAACATCCTTAAAGCAACAAACGAATAGGTCTTGAAAATAACACTGAGAAAAATTTTAACAGTTTCTTCAAAATATTTTAAAATAAACCCCACAATTATGGCTTGAAACAAACTTAAAAAAATATATTAAAAATGTAAAAATTATGACTTGAAACATGTTTCACAATATTTTGTAAAATCCACTAAAATTGTTTATAAAAATCCAGTATTAGGTTTTGAAAAGTCTTTCAAATATAATTTTAAAACTGCACGAAAGGTCCTTCAAATATTGCAGAAGACGCTATAAACCTTAAATGCACGGATTCCGAGGAATCTTTATCCCAAAATGAGGAACATCAAAATGCGTGTCTTCTTCTTTCAGTTCTGCTTTCATAATCTTCAGGATTTTCCCTGCAATTATTATTTTTATGCTGCACAGTGTTATCGATTAAGGTTACGACAATGGCTTAATAAACAAATAAGTTATATATAAATATACCCACACCATCACCATGGCCGGTGATTGAGTTCTGGTGGCCAACCGAAGGTGCACATTTTCAGCTTCCCTCTTTGGCAAGTAAACACGATTTTGTTTGTTTACAAACTGCTGGACAACGAATGTTTTCTCATCGGAGAAAACCAAATGCGGCAGTTTACCACTTGCGGCCAAGTGAAACAATTCTTTAGCTCTTTTGAGTCTATTTTCTTTCTGTTGCGGTGTAAGTTCTTGCACTTTTTGGAATTTCAATGGCTTTACCCCGAGCTCATTTTTCAATATTTGCCGAATGGAATATTGCGATATTTTCGCCCACGACGCGGTTGCTTCTTTACTTTTCGAACCATTTCTGCTGTTTTTGCTATTTTCCTCCGCCTACTTCCTTGACGTCGGGCTACGCTACCAGTATCACGGTAACGAGCGATGGTACGAGACACAAAAAATTTATTCACATTTAAATGCTAACGATAGCCACTTGTGGTTTTCCAGCCAAATATAAAGAAATCACACTATCACGCTGAAATTCCATCACAAATAACCTTTTTTCTAGAAAAATCACCAAAATGCTTTTAACCGCTTGTAAACAACATAATGAGCTGTCACTGGAATAATTTTAAAAGCTGTCGGACGAGTGGCTTAGAAATGACAGCAGTCTGGAGTTGGTTGCAGTTTTTTCATCTCCCCTTGTATATGGGAGCTATATCCAAATCATAGCCGATCTCGATAAAATTTGTCAAAGGTATTTCCGAGCTCTACAAGAAATCTGGTACTAAAAATCATTACTGTCAAATGCATATTACGAATCTAAGGGGCTTTAAGATCAAATCGGATGAAACATATATATGGGAGCTAAAGCTACCAATATGTGTTGTAGGGTATAATAATACCCTTACCAATATGTGATGTAGGGTATACAAATCCACGTTTATGTTTTGAAAGGTCTTTTGAAATATAATTTTAAAAATCCATGAGAGGTCCTTCAAATATTGCAGAAGACACAATAAACCTAAAATGCACGGATTCCGAGGAATCTTTATTTAAAAATTTTCAAAAGTTTGGAAGCGGGGAGAACCTATCTTATCTGTTTAGGTTACTTTACGATATGAACTTTCAAAATGCTGATACGCGTGTCTTCGTTTACAGCTGAATCTTCAGGATTTTCCTTGCAATTATTTATTTTGCTGCACAATTGCTACTTGATAATGGCTTAAAGGACTAATAAATTAAAAGGAAGTTCAAACTAAAAGTATCTATATATTATTAATATATAGTCCACCATTACGTTTAGAAATATTCTTCAAAAAAATTCTTAAGAACTCCACTGTAATTGTCTGGAACTTCTTTGAGAAAATATTTTTAAAAAGAATTCACGTATTTCGAAAACATATTAAATGTTTCTTCAATATTTCTTTTAAATCCATGAAAAATCCTTAAATCCACGATTTGTCCGAGAAAAGTGCTTCAAACAACAATTTAAAGAAATCTACGATTGTATCAAAAACTTCTTCAATATTTTTCTATAAAAGCTACGAGTGTCATGCGAGGTGCCTCAAAAATATTAAAAAACACGATTATGGTTTGAAAAATCCATTAAAAATATTCTAAAAAATTTCAGATTCTGTAATGCAAGGTATAAAAAAATCTTTTAATATGTATGTACTGGAAGATCCTTCAGAAATATTCTGTAAAATCTAATTTCTTGAGAAGTGCTTCTCAAAATATTCTTAAAACAATCCACGAAAGATCCTTTTACAACAATTACAACAATCCTACTTAAAATATTCCTTATAAATTTCTCAGAACAATTCTTAAAAGTTAACAAATGTCGTTTGGCCGACAACATCTGTAAAATCTCCATTTTCCCTAATTTATCTAAGAGTTTTGAAATAATACTAATTAATATGGTTCATGTTAAATTTGTATTTGGTTTACATAAATTTATGTAATATATTAAAAGTTTGTATAAAATCTAAAAAATATATTGTGTCGCTTATAGAATAATACAGATTTGGAATTATTAACGGGTGGTGTTCTACATGTAACTTTCAATTAAAATTTAAATATAAATAATGCAATAGCTTACTTTTTATATCAAGTGAATGGTATTTGAATATTTTTATTTGGAATGGGCTAGTAATCCTTTCAGTAATGATCTCGTGCTATTTATTTGGTTTACTTGGTTAATATTGGAAAAATAACTTTTAATTGAAATTTACATAAAAGAAATGCACCCTTTGACGATATGGAATGTTTCTTCTATTATAAAAATAATAGATGTGGACGGCAATACATTCAGTCATTTAAGTATGTCATTTTAAACTTATTGTAAAACCGCAAAGAACGTTTCTTTATAAAAATAAAGAACTAGAGATTCGAGCAAATATTCAAGAGTAAGGCACAGTAATTGTCTATATAAGTAGTTATCTGATTGCTGTTGTTCTTCTATGCTGGATTTTGTGGCTTTTGTACTACGAACATTTCAACCCTTGTGATTAATGTCGCAAAAACCAAGCTATAGTTGATACCAGCATTGTTGTCACCGCTATGGCCAATTGATTGCCACTCATGAGACTAGCTCCATTACAACCATCTTTGCTGTTACATGTACAGTATTCCATGAAAATGTTATAACTACCCGTACGCATCAAACAATAACGTTCATCACCTTCAATACCGGGTTCTCCCATGTAGGCACAGCTGCGGATATAGCGCCATTCACCGTGAGCCTTTTGTCGGATTTTTCGGCACATGGTTGGTCTAACTCCCGGCAGGTGTTCCAAATCGGGTTCTTGGTCGCAATCCTTGATAACCAGGGTGCTATTATCGAATGGGTCTCCGCATTTTGGATCGTTGTCAGAACGACAATCCCAGCATTTAATGCTTAGAACTGCAAAACCAAAAATACATTAACAAATAGTTAATTAATGAAATTCTTTATTCAAACAAATAGCACTGATGTTTCACGCTGTTGTTTCCATTGCTGCTGGTAGTCATACCTGTTTGGGCCAAACACACTGTTAAAATGGTGCACAAAAACACACGCTGCACTGTTTGTAATTGAAACATACTTTTATTTCGTTCGAAACAGATTGAAATTAAATAAAAGTTTAATTAAAACTAGGGGAAGCTTAAAAAACAAACAGCAAATGAATAAAATGAAAAACAACTGACCCGCCCTAAAAATTGTTGTTTGGGTTCTCTGCTGCGTTCTTCGTGATGTTATGTTTCGCACGTTATTATCGACATTGTGGAAGTTTGACATTCATCCTAAAGAGAAGCATACGACGCATAAAGTAAGATTTACACAGGCATGGATTTATCGTACAATATATTTTACAGAATATTTAATGCTTTGGCGCATTTATAGCGTATATACTGTGTTTATTAGTCTGATGCCAGACTATGAAAATTTTCATTGAAGATGTTTTCCCATTTTCATCTAAATTTTCATCGACGTCTACACACAATTTTTTTTTCATATGAATATTGTAGATACTTCCTATTAAAATGAACAGGAATCAAAGAAATGACGTGCAGTCATCTTGATTTGAGAGTTACGAATTTAAGCACAAAGAATAATTTCAGCTTTCAGGTTGTGTACATAGTTTCACCCCCTTCATACCTCTTGTCTATAAACTCATTTTCACATTAATGAAAGTTTTCATAGTCTGACCTAAGACTTAGATCCAGTGGGTTAATTCTTCATTTGACAACATCTCATTGTAAAAATTTATATTTACAAATATGTTGCATAAATACAAACCAGAGATGGAAACCCGTTTTATGCAGTGAAATTTGACAAGGTGAGTTACAGAACATCCAATTACATGGAATGATTATTTGAAATGACTTTACATTCTTAATTTTACCATTAACCGGATTAATTAATTATAATATATATATATATATATATATATATATATATATATATATATATATATATATATATATATATATATATATATATATATATATATATATATATATATATAGAATTAGTAAGGTAAATTCATTTTAAATACACATTCCCGTCTTAGTATTTTCTGTAATTTACCATGACTTCAAGCTTTTTATGTACTTCCACCTTAATTGTTTTCAGTTTTTGTTACAATGAATAATATTTTATGCAAGAAACAAAATTTACGTATACACATATTTTGACCGCAAAATATGAAGTCAAAAGGGCTTTCTGTGTGACTTGTTTATAGGCCATGTTATGAACTTGGAACTATGGTGTGGTAAGGCCTTAAATAACACGTTTCAAGTAAAAAGTTACAAAAGTTTTGGATGTAAAGAATCAAAACTGTTCTGTTATTGTATGATGCCTATACATCATTTCTTTCTTTCTTGATTTATTTCTTTATTATTGTTTTGCTACAACAAAATAACTCTATATACATTATTTCTGCCAAAAACTTCGCTGGGTAATGTAAACACTATTACCGACAATTAACGAAATGACGGTGTAATCACGCCTACTCAGTCAACGCTGGCTGTAAACAAGCCAGAATTGAGTCTGACAGCTCCTATTACTACGTTCATTTCACAACAAAAACAATCATTCATTCATTAGACCATTATTTTTACAACACTTTATTTTGTTTATACTTTCCATTAAATTTTAAATTACTTTTAATCCTTCACAACGAAAATCAGACACAATGAAGGCTGTAGCGACAAATTCCATTGTTTTGTTGTTGGTTTTAAGCATTAGTGGTAAGTTTAAAGGGGTAAATTAGGAATAATTTTATTTAGGGTGTGGTTAGATGGCTTGAACAAGTGTTTTTAACTAATAATTATTTTTTCCTTCTAGGTTCTCTGGCCATTCGTTGCTATCAATGTTCATCTGATCAGGATCGGAAAGGGTTCGATAGCTGTGGAGCTTATAAACCCTTCAATCGTACCGAACACATTCCTATTGAGTGCAATAGTGAGGAGTCACACATGCCCGGCTCGTTTTGTATGAAGGTAGTGCAACAGGGACCCCGTGGTTTTATTTGTAAGTGATAATTGTGATATATGAAAAGGGAATTGGTAATAATGTGGTCTTGTTTACAGGGGATGGACGCTGGAGACAAGTTATAAGACGTTGTGCCTCAGTGGCTGATACTGGTGTAACAGGTGTCTGTAACTGGGGTGTCTATGATAATGGTGTCTACTGGGAAGAATGTTATTGCTCCAGTGATAGTTGCAATGGCTCTGAATCATTGGCCACAGCAAAATCGATATGGGCCGCGGTCATTTTAGTCTGCGCCCTTGCATTTACTCGTGTTGTTGACAATTAAACCACTCTTGTTGTCGCAGTAGTATTAGATATTTCTTCAGTCTTTTTACATGAGTGCCTTTCTTATATTATATAGTTGATATATACATTCCGTCCATTTTATATTGATAATTTGTTTTAGTGAATAAGGCATTTTAATCTCCCACACTAAAAAAATAGAATCTCTTTTTAGCACAACATAGAATAGCAATATCTTTGAAGTGCAAAAACATATCGAAAAAATCAATTAATTTAGGAAAATAAACTATTACACATTTTGTATGCAAACATTTTCTTTGTTTATAGTTTATACGTTTAGCTGGAGACCATAGGTTATGCATGAAGATATGTATTTAATTATAAAATGATTATTTTTAAACCCTCCATCATAGCATGGAGGGTATATTAAGTTTGTCATTCCGTTTGTAATGCCTCGAAATATACACTTTAAACAAAGTATATATTTTCTTGATCAGAATAAAATTCTATGTGAATTTAGCGATGTCCGTCCGCCTGTGGAAATCACTCTAGCTTCCGAACGAAATGAAAATGTGTATTATGTCTGCAGGACTTTTGGTATTAAAAATGGGTCATGTAGGTCCTCGTTTTGGTATAGCCCCCATATGATGGTACCCCCCTTTTTTCGGCATTTTGATGATTTTAGCGACATTATTAACCGGAATTAAATTTGGTATTTGAAGTTGGTAACGGATACTACAGCCTAAGGCAGAAAATTGTCTGTGCGGGTGCACGTCTTCATATAGCACTCATATATCGGTACCTCCCGATATTCGGTACATTAATGATTTTAGTTACATTATCCACCAGAATTGTTTCAAATTTGGTATTTGAAGTTGGTAACGGATGCTACAGCCTAAGGCAGAAAATTGTCTGTGCAGGTCACGTCTTCGTATATCCCCCACATAACGGTACCCCCCTCCGATATTCGGTATTTTGATGATTTTATCGACATTATTCAACGATTTTTTTTCAAGTTTCGCATTTGAATTATGTAATGGTTTATGACAAAAGTTGCCTATGCCCCAATATAATGGCTACATTCGGTATTTTTAAGATTTTAACAGATTTTGTTTTTTTTTTTAATTGCCAATTTCGTCCCACATGGTGGAGGGGATTCAAAGATCGGCCCGGCCGAACTTACAGCTATTTTACTTGTTTTCTAAAGCAAAGACTGGATGCTACCAGAATGTGCAACGGACAGAGCATGCGAACGTCCCAGTGCCTAAGTATCTTTCATACAGACTACTACCTTAAAAAGTCTTCAAATTATCTGCACTTTAATTGCGTTTGGAGACACTATTCTACAATTTATATTGCCTTGTCATACCTTAGTAATATTATCACTATTGCATAACAGATTTTGCTTTGACTTGAAAGATAGAATTTTATAGCTTTATCGAAATTATAAATCAACTTGCATCTTTAATCGTTTACATAATTTCATCCAACAGCACCCTGCTGCTTCGTTATGTCTTTTACTCTCTTTCACAAGACATTTTCTGTTGGAGGATTTTAAAACCATCCTCTTGCCATCCGGCTTCCACATCATTCAACACAGCCATGTAGATTAAGGAAACACCATTTTTATATGTCTTTGCAGCCATATACGATTTTTTATCACTTGACCATTGTGTGACTTCTTTTAACTCATTACAGGAGTTAGTGTCATCTGGGTACTAAACCAAAAATCATCAATTATTGAAAATCAAAAAATATCACATTTCAAAATCTCATCACCAGTGTTCGATATAATTCCATGGGTTGATTTTCACTGGTCCATTTCAAAACTCGCAAGCAGTAACGAAAGAAACGATTATTATTGCGTAGCACCTCCAAATGACGGCTGTTATGCAGCGTTTGGACTTTCTTCAGCAGATCGTTACAGATATCAATATCCTTCGGTCGTTTGAGGGTTTTCATTAGGGCCTTTGCAATGCGCATATAATTTTCAAATTGTTCACCCAGCAGCGTCAGCTCATTGTCTTCGTTACTTTTTTCTGGTTCGTTGCTATCATGAGGGGCATCTACAGTTTCACTTTCTTGTTGTGGTGCTATTTCGTTGGAATCTTCAGTTGTGATTGGTAAATTTTCATTTTCATCTGACATGACTTAAAATTTTGATTTTGTTTCTCACAGAATTAATAATAAATTTAATATAATTTTATAATTCAATTTGGAACGACATTAATATATTTGTTAACTGTTTATCGGGTTCCATCGATGTAGGGCATGTTGGTAGTTGTGGAAGAAAATTGATTTCTTTATTATAACTGGATTTTGTTCAGAACACAAAAATGATGCTAAAGGGCTGGCATTGGTTTGGACAATGATTTTGAATTGTTTCAAAGATTTGTTTTTAAAAACAAGTTAAATAGTATTAGTTGGTTTTGCCGACAGTTTTTTGCCACCAGCCTTGAGTTAGAATTATTCTAACAGTTGGCCCTTTATGGGGAGGGTTCCGAATTTGTTCCAATTTGTATCTGATCTTAGTTTGATATAAAAATTACAACGTGCCATATTTGGACTATATCGTCCATGTTACAATAAATAGGTAATGTAGAGCTCCCAGCTGATTTCAATTTTTTCTGCCAATTTTGTGTACGTATTTGTTGTTTTCAAAAATGAAAACAAAAAATTTTCAAAATCAATGATTGGAAGAAACTTAAATTGCGGGGAGCGCATAAATAATATTAACCAGATTTGCCATGGAATTGAAACATCGAACACTTAGGATCATATTTTTAACTCAGAAATGAACAAATAATATCGAATAAATGAAAACAACTTGTTGCATACAATTTTAATAATTCTGACAGGAAGCGGGCATTGCTTAAGGGCTGCATTTCTGTAGTTTACGAAACTATTCTACCTCCTTATGATATCGTCTACTTCCTATACCTTATATGAGACATATGCAAATTTTTGGAACATATGGAAATATGCGCGAGGTACCAGGTATAGAGGACCGAAATATTCCACTTCATCTTATTCAGATAAAAATAGAGTTTACACCTCCACCACTCCACCTCCACCGGCCGAACTTAGCTGTTTTTTAATTTGTTATATTTAAGTCCTTTACGTGTTTTGTATCCAATTTTAATTGAGGATTTTTAAGAATATATTTAAAGGAATACTAATGTTTAAATCGTGGATTCTTATTGATCTACAACAGTGGATTTGTAACGTGGATTTTTATGAGGTTTTATTATATCCATTGAGCCCTAATCGTGAAGTTTGGGGAACATTTTAAAGAAATTATACAAGCTCAAAACTTTTTTCAATAGGGTAAGTGTGCCTAAGTTCGGCATGTCCCAGTAGTCGGCACTTTTTATTTTTAAGCCCAAATAAATGAAACTATTATAACTAAATGTATTTTGTTTACTTCAAATATATTGTCAGCTATCTTTAGGCACAATTTCGCAAAGAAAAGATTAATTATTCTAATAAAAATTAAATTTTTGTCTGTGAAATTCCTGAACAATTCATATTCTTAAGAAAAGTACAATAAAGACGTCGAATCAATTTAACTAAACAAAAATATTATATTTTAATGAATTAATTTATTATTATTATTAATTATTCTTACAAAAAAAATTGGTATGCCGACTGTTGGAAAATGTCATACCGGCAATTGGCAAGTGGTGCCGACTACTAGCAAAAAAGCATTGTTTTAATAAAACTACAAATTCGTGAAATTTAATAAAAAATTATTAAAACTTTATTTATTATTGCAAAAACTATACAAAATTTCGAATCTGAATAAATTAACTTTGTAATAATTGAAATGTTCCACTCAGAATGGTGAGCGATTAAAAACGCGAAAATCCTAAAAGTGCCGACTACTGGTACACTTACCCTATCTATCAGAGCCATTAAACTTGGTTTCAGATTAAAATCCCCTCATGACAACTTCCTCCCAACTAACGATGCGAAAGTAACAAAAACCAATCATTTTTCATTTTTATCACATTTAAATCTATATTTTCTTTTTGTTTTTCATTTTTAATTGCAATTTTACATAAATCTGTTTAACATTTTATATTATCATCATTTATTTGTTGTTGTTTCTGTTTTTTTTTTAATATTTTTTAGCACACATTTATTTGATTTGTTTATATAACTGCGAGTATTATTATCGTGTTTTTTTTTGTTTTGTTCAAAATTTATGTCGCATTTAAAAACTTTATTTGCATTGTTTGTTTTTCAATTTATATTTTGCAAAACGCATTTAGTAGCTTTTTATTGTATTTTTTTGTTATGTTATTTATTAATATTATTGACTAAAAATCATGTTAACATTCATTCAGTAATATTTTGTGGTAATTTTTCTAAATTTGTTTTTATACAAAACATTGACTAGAGGCGTACAAGAGCAATGAGGGCGTAAAGCTTGGCTTTATGTGTTGCGATCGTTGCCATCATTGATGATATGTGTATTTCATTACTCAATGATGGCAATGCTCCAAATGCTAACTGAGCAACTAATAGCGCATTTACATACATACGGCCAGAAGACTGCAATTGACAATAATTTGAAAATAAACTTAATTGTGTTTGCACCATTGTGATTTGATTATTATTCAATTTCAAATCGCAATTATGTCTTCTCTGGCCGACCTTATATGCCAATATATATATATATATATATATATATATTTAAGGCTATGTTTACTCATGTTGCAATAATAGGGCGCTGAATCCTTGGTTCACACCAAACCACGTGTTGAGAAACTTGCCATTTTAGTTCGTTAACTTAAAATGACAAATGGAATTGACATATGTTTGATGTACACCATGGTAGAAGAATACAGGTAGATGCATCAACGCTTTAGAACCAAATAAGTAGATTTTTATAAATTTTCTTATACGACACAAATCGGAGCTTCTTATAATATGCATTTTTCAACAATTTTTACAAATTTGAATAATTTTTCATTCAAAAACTCAAAATTGATTTGACAATTCATTTTCCCAGCGGTTGTCAATGTCAATGGTTGTGCCACTGTATATATCGGTTTCTTAAATGTGTTTTATCTGATATATTTTCTTTGAAAATATGCCAAATTAAATAATGTTTAGAAATAAAATAATGTTCATTAATCAAGTTTTACACTGTCATTGCCCCTGTACGCTTTACTATTTATTTTGAACCGTATTTATTTTGAATTCCGGCATGTGATACTTCCGTTCTAGATAGTGAATGAGAGTGACTTTGTGTATAAAATGATTGAGTTAAATGTAGATACTTTTAAAAATTGTTTTGCATAAAAAATATTTATGTATGTAGCATAATTTTGATTTGGTGGGAAGTGTAAACGTTCGAGTACTCCGTATGTGTCTTATAAATAAATACAATTGAAAGTGCTCCTGCTAAAGTGTTGAGTATTAAAAATGTGGTGATTTGAATTGATCGATTAGAAAAAAGTTAACAGTATTATGTATGTATATATATACTAATTTATAAAAGTTTATGTTGAGGGTTTAATACATTGCCAGATGTTACAACATTTCATAAAGTTACAAATTGTTTTGAGATATACAATTCATCAAGGCGTAACTAAAGGTGAGAACACATAGAACGCTTTTTGACTGGTTTAAGTCATCAAAGGAGTTTTAGGTTGACGTAGTTCAACATCGGACCATAATTTATACTTGTTCACCTTACGGTCTTTTGTTCTTCTACGAAGAAGTCAGTCAATGACTTCCAGTAAGAACTGGTTCTATGTGTTCTCAGCTTAGAGACATTGAAATCATTGAGTGTACGCTTGGTTATCAAGTGTTCACATTTAGGCGTCATTCGTTTAAGTATAAACGAGTTTAGGTGAGAATACATAAAACGCTTTTTAAGTCATCGTCTGGCTTCTTCGGAAAAGGAAAATGGAGCGTAGGGCCAAAATTGAACTAAGTCAATCTAAAACTCCTTTGTTCCTCTACGAAGAAGTCCGCCAATGACTTAAGTCAGTCAAAAAATCGTTTTATGTATTCTCATCTTAAGTCTGTGGTGCTAGTCTCGGTCTAAGTGCACAATTATCATGTACCTGGGCCAATAATGCGGAATTGCGGCTCTTTTCCGGAACGCGGTTATTTTAGCTTTTTAAGAAAACTTCTATTTTTTGTTGATCGGTATATTAGAAAGAGTGCGAGTACAGGGTAAAGGTGGGAATATATGAAGTCCTTATTTGGTTGGCTTCTTCAGAAATTAACAAAGGCCTATTGCCAAAATCGAACTAAGTTGACCTGAAACTCCTCGAAGAAGCCAGTCGGTGACTTAAGCCAGCCAAATATGCGCTATATGTATTCCCTCCTTAACGGCTGTAATGTTAGTCTTAAGGTGTGAGCACACAAGGAGCTTGAAGTCTTCGCATGGCTTATTTTGTGACATACCATAAAGGGATGCCAGAGCCGCACTCAAATCCTGCCGTCGTTTTTCCCTATAATTTGACATTAATATGTCTAGCCATGATGCCAAGCTGCTTATATACACACACACACACACCTTTATTTACACACACGGTACGATACAAAGGTATAGTAGAGCTACCAGCTGATTACAATTTTTTTCTGAGTGTGATCGACAGGCGCCAAATTTGTTGCATCTAAATTTAAATAATTCTGACGGAAAGCGGGCATAGCTTCAGGGCTGTATTTCCGCCGTTTTACAAAGCTGTTTTACCTCCTTACTGTACTATGCTTACACTGACACCTAAATGACATGTTTTATGAAAGTTTTTCATTTATTTGACGTATGCTTAAAGGAATTGACAATCTAAATAACGTTTTTTTTGGAAAACATGTTCTTTGTAAATAGGGTCTATTGACTTCTGGCAGAAGCGGAAAAACATGTTACTATATTTATATGACCGACTTGCCTATTAAACAATTCTTAAGGTAAGAATACATAAAACGCTTTTTTGACTGGCTTAAGTCATCAGGCTTCTTCTTAGAGGAACTAAAGAGTTTTTTCTGAAAAGGCCAGCCGATGACTTAAGTCGGCCAGATAAGCGCTTTATGTATTCCCACCTTTAAAGATAGAAGCATTTGTTGGCATTTGTGGATAACATAAAGTCATGGTGATATTCGTCAAACTTTTACTCCTGAAAATATAATTGGCAAAATCTACTTCATAAGTCAGTACTTCCTTTATTCGATATTGCGGAATAGTTCAGCAGTTTGTTTTTTTTTTGGTCTGTTGTCTTTTCTCTGGTTTATGCATCCTCTACTTATTTATGCATCCTCTACTTATTTCTTCTTCATTTCGATTAAGTCAGATCGCTTTTCATTCAGTGGATAGTCCAAAACAAAATTAACGAGTAAAGGGAACTAGTTCAGCTTTTCTTCAGTGAATCCTTCGATTGAACTAAATAATGTTAACTATTGTACAATGTCATTTTTAGCTATTATCTTTTTGGCAAGTCTAGTTTAAACAGCTAGCACACGTTTCGTGTTTATTTTTTACTGTCGAATATCTTAAGTTTGTTTTATAATTTATCTATGAATCGACCTGCTCCTTTACCTAAACAAAACGAATGACTTAAACGGAACGGAACTAGTTCAGTTTTTCTTCAGTAAAATCTTCAACTGAACTAGGTGATGTTGGCGACTACACAGTGTGATATTTTTGCTATTTTTTTTGGCAACAACTCACGCACGTTTCGTGTTTATTTTTCACTGTCAGACATTTTTATTTTGGTCTACAACCATGAATCGTCTTATAAATGAACAACGTTTGCTGACCGATGAATTAAATTATCCAAATACGCGCTCTGCTAAGAAAGTTCATGGCGCGTTTATTGTGTTTAGTGACGAAGATAATTTTTGGCTCAATGGGTAGGTAAAAAAAACAGAATTGTCGATTTTGGATTTAAAGTCAGCGTTGCAAAAGCATGCGTCCAGAAGAAATCGCAGCTAGGTACGGTTTATGGGCTGAATCAATCATTGGACCGTAATTCTTTAAAGTTGCTGGAAATCGTAATAGTTTGTTAAACAAAAAATGTTGAGCGCTACCGTGAGGTGATAACCAGCTGCCCAAATTGCAGGAGCTTGTCTTGAATGACATGTCGTTTCAAAAAACCCGTGCCACATGCCACAAAACGAGTAATAATGGATTTTTGAGAACATTTTTTTTCTGAATTGTTTGTTATTTTTTTGGACAAGCTTTCCTAAAGCTCTTAAAAATCCAACTATGCAATGTTCACACCAAATACGTTCCAAATAAGTCATTTAATTATCAATCCCACTGAAGCTATGCCAAACAAAATAATATTTTCTTTAAGGCATTACGACGTTTAAGTATTGTTTGCCTGATTTGATGTATGATCATGTAGCTTTATGAAATTAAGTAAATATGGCAACTGTACTACCTCGGCTTTAGCAAAAAAATATATAATTTTATAATAAGTTATTATGTATGCACAAATGTTTCAAAAACATATACACATATTATTATATAGCGCAACGAAGTGAAAAATATTGCTCAAATTATTTATTTTAGCAAATTAGTTTGAAAGCTGTTGATGTTATTGTTTGACGATGAAAGGCCAAATGCAGATGATGAGTAAAGAGTTGCCATATGATGTTTTAAATGTGTTTGGTAATTCTGGCATCGTAACTGATTGGCCTTTCATCTTATGCATGTGATTTTGTCTATGTGAGATTTTATCGGCATTTGAAAAGATAAATAATGTTTGAATAAAATATGAAATTAATAAAAAAGAATATATACAAAATGGTCTTTCAACATATAATGGCTGTTTATTTATTAACTATTTGTTTTGGAATAATTGCAGATGTTCCATATAGAGACTTCTCGAGATTTGGTTTCAATCAATCTATGAAAGTATTTTAAAGAACAATATAGATTTTAGTCTCCATAAAATCAAAATGCTTCACATTTGTATAAAACTCGAAATGTTACCATATCTTGAGAAAACATGTCGGCATATTTTGCATCTACGGCGAATTCAACAGTTGTTGGAGCTAATATAATACACCTATAACATAATGATTTAAACATGTTTTACATGTTTTTTTTTTCTAACATTAACATATACTATGAACATAAGTATATTATAACACTAATATATTAACATAATATAAAATCCATTAATTAACAGTTATTGTGTTGCAATAATTTATTGTTGACAATGATCGAGAATTGAAATCATATACTTTATATATATGCTACTATGGTTTGTAAATAAAGATATTCGTGTATTTATGTACGGTATATTATTGTATGTAGACACATCAAAACCAACACTGGCTGCAAGGAAAGTTAAAGACAAATTGCAGTTTTATAGGAAATCAGGTTCACCCAAAACAAGCATAAATTTGTAAGGAACCAGTGACTTTAAGTTACGCCATTAGTTTCCTGTTGTCAAATAAATTTGACAATTATAGATCTTCAGATCAAATCAGAGCTGTAAATCAGTTTTCTTTCCAATTATATATGACTTGCAATTATGATTAAAATGAGGTAATCTTTTTAATTTTACGATACGATGGAAAGTCTTATCATGGTAGCAGAATTGGGAACATTTATGTGTCAAAAATTGTTAAATGTTTCTTCAAAAATAAGTAGATTTGTATATGTTTTCTCATACGTCGCCAATCGCAGGTTTTGATGATATGATTTTTTTAACAATTTTTACAAATTTGAATAATTTTTCATTCAAAAATTCCAAATTCAAAATTGGTTTGACAGTTCATTGTTCCAGCAGCTGTGACGATGCAACTAAGAGTATTCTTCTACCATGAGTCTTATTAAAAAAAAAAACTCCATTTCAAACTGTCGCCAAACGCCCAATTGTGTTCCAACTGATTACCGTTTATCTGGTGTGTTTATCGATAGTAATCGATCATTCTCAATGACGTTTGTAAGCCGCTGTTTTTGGATCCCTATTTGTCCTTTAATTGTCGTTTTTGTGATAATTTCTGTCGTTGCAATTATTGTTTGTCTGATTACCGTTAAGTGAGGGAGTGCAAAATCTGCGGCAAGCCCGTTGTTTTTTATGATTATTGTAATGTGTGTAATGTTGTTGTTATTGAATTAAACGTAGCACGTTACAAGTTACAAGCAAAACTCCGCATTTTGGATTTTATTTACTTACAGCCGGAACACAAATATTTAATCGAAAAACTAAAAACTAAGCCATTAAAAGTCGTAGCATTTGTCTATGTGGTTGTTGTATATTTCCAAATGTCAAATAGTTAAAAAACGTTGAAATAGCATAAGAAACAGTCATCCTTCCATATTATTGCACGTGCAAAAATCTACTATTTTTGCATTTTTTTCGATATTATAAAGGGAAAATAGGTTATCGCAGTAAAAAGTTTTACATTTGCTCTGTTCCAGAACCTGTTACAATCTACTAGTTTTGCGATTTTTTTCGATATCATAACGGGAAAATCGGTTATTTTATTAAAAACTTTTAGATTCTTGCAGTTCTGGAACAGACCAATTATTGCAGTTCGGGAACAGGCCAATAATATCCTAATTATTTGTCGTGAACTACTTCATAAGAACTATTCCGTGAAAGGAACTATATTTAACTTTTGTTGTGTTTTTTAATGGCAGCATGCTCGAAAAAAACTGTTTTGCACATAAAATGCGAGAACTAAAGAGAATGCCATATTTTTGTGTGTTCTGTTCTTTTTGGTTACATATTTTACAAGTTTTTCGTGTACGGGATCGATGTTTATGTAAAATATATTTATTAATTGGTTCCCGATTTCCGTAGTTTAACTGCAATTCTACCTTTCTTTTAAATTATAATAAACCTAGTACCAGAAGAAGTTATATAGATTTGCTTTGAGAGGGCACAGAGAAACAGCGCCTTAAATAAGTAAGAATTGTAAGAACTGGAGCAACTCCTAATATTCGCAACAAAATCATTTTATGCTCTGTTGCAGTACCAGTATCGATATCATAAAGGGAAAATCGGTTATCGCAGTAAAGTCTTTAACATTCTTGGCAGTTTTAGACCAGACCATAAGTAAACTAAAAAATAAACCGTTATCGAAGTCCAAAGATATGCCAGGCAAATGTAGAATGTTCCCTCTCTGGTAGCGACGAAAATAATAAGCGACAAATTATCTCAGTGGATTGGGCGCCAGGCGACTCTCACTTTTCAATCCCAAAAGTAAAATCAGGTGTTTTTTGTTACAGCAACAGGTATTATTTGAGTTTCTTACTCTAAGGATAAAATGGGGCGACATGATCTCGATCCAATTAAGAGTTCTGGAACAGACTATTAATAAACTAAAAAATAAACCGTTATCATTAACGGCATCAGAGGAATTGCTTCTCGAAGTCCGAGGACATGCTAGGCAAATGTAGAATGTTCCCTCTCTGGTAGTGACGAAAATAATAAGCGACAAATTATCTCAGTGGATTGGGCGCCAGGCGATTCTCACTTTTCAATCCCAAAAGTAAAATCAGGTGTTTTTTGTTACAGCAACAGGTATTATTTGAGTTTCTTACTCCAAAGTTAAAAAGGGGCGACCTGATCCTGATCCAATTAAAGAGTGCTACATTCCGGATAGGTTAATGAGTTCTGCTAACAATTTTAGACCAATTACAATAACGGTACCAATATTGCAATGCTTGTGGAGAGAGCTGAAGTTCTTCTGCTGCGAAAAATGGGCTGTGATCTCCGGGGACGATTAGACTATCTTAAAATGGATTCAGATCCTCAGGTTGAGATCCTTGGTTTAATACTTTTTCTAGTTCATGTTTCTATGTTCTTCACTAGAATAGATCACACCCGACGTAGCGGTTTGTTAGCGGTTTCGCAACTAGTGTCGCAAAGATAAAACTTCAGCCACCTTAGAGATAAGTGGTAGATAGGATTCATGAACATATGGTTCTTAGACAGACATGACAAAATTGGGCATTGACCATTACATGGTTTCCTTATCAGCTGACTAAGTGAAGCCTTATATGCACAGAAATGGTATACAAAGCTATTGTTATGATTTCGGTCCAGGCTTCAGTTACTAAAAGAGACAAGACAAGTTGAGATCCTTAGTTTAATACTTTTTCAAGTTAATCCCATTGCTCAAGATCGCCATCGGAATTCTCTCAGGATCAATCGCTTTAGATGAGTCTGAAAATATTCAAGTGTATTCTCTATGTTCTTCACTAGAATAGATCACACCGATGTAATATTTCCCTTTTCGCCTTTTTATATCCTACACCACATAGTGGTAAGGGTATTTGCATTTGTGCATTTGTTTGTAACATGGAGAAGGAAACGAGATAGACCCATAGTTACTTTTGAGAACCTTCATAGAATCACTTTCTGAGTCGATTTATGCATGTCAGTCCGTCTGTCCATGTATTCTTGTGAACAAAATGCAGGTCGCATTTATTATCCGATTGAGATGAAATTTTCCAAACAATATTTTTTTGGCCCAAGGACGAACCCTATTGAAATTGGTGAGAATCGGATCAAATTTAGATATCGATCCCATATATATCTTCATCCGATTTCGGGTTAAATGTGCACCAAATGTCCACTATCAGTCCAAATTACCTGAATTTTGGCACACCTAACCGAGTTCGGCCTAGAAGCAAGTATATCAAATTTGGAGAAAATCGGTTCAGATATAGCTATAGCTCCCATATATATCTTCCATCCGATTTGATCTTTAAGTCCCTCACATTCCTACTATGCACTCCACAACCGTGATATTTGGTACCAGGTATTAGATGGAGCACAGAAATAGCTGTTTTTAATTTTATCGAAATCGGTTTAGATTTGGATATAGCTCCCATATATATCTTCATCCGATTTCGGGTTAATTGACCACCAAATGGCCCGAATTTTGGCACATGTGACCGAGATTAGCCTTAAAGCAAATACAACAAATTTGGGGAAAATCGGTTCAGGAACAGCTATAGCTCCCATATATATGTTTTATCCGATTTGGTGTTTAAGCCTCTCACATTCGTAATATGCACTCCACAAGAATGATATTTGGTACCAGATATAAGATACAGCCCAGAAATAGCTGTTTGTAATTTTATCGAAATAGGTTCAGATTTGGATATAGCTCCCATATATATCTTCATCCGATTTCGGGTTAAATGTGAACTAAATGGTCAATATCAGGCCAAATCACCTGAATTTTTGTACATGAGACCGAATTCAGTCTAGAAGCTAATACGTAAAATTTGAGAGATAGCTATAGTTCGTAAAATGCACGATAGAATTAGATAGATTTTGATTTTGTACCAAATATCTCATAGAGCTCTGAAATGCCCTGTATAAACCTTTTTACGAGAGCTCTACTAAATATGCATAGTGGTGTAGGGTATCATATAGTCGGCCCCGCCCGACTTTTGAGCTTTCCTTACTGGTTTAAGATTGGTTGGTTTACTGTTAGCGGTTTCGCAACATCCTCACATTTCAGAATTGTACCGGATAGAGTGATACAATAGGAATGATAATCAATCACAACTTCGAAGACTGTTAGTGTTGATTGTCTTCATTTTCTGGATTGCTGCCGCGAGATGTTCTTATTATCATCATACCATTCACTACTTCATTAATCTTAAGACTATCCCAAATAAATTGGGAATATGCACCTACAATATGTGGTGTGAGGTGCATCAGCAAAAAACTGTGTACTAAAACAATAACAATGGAAATTACGCGACGAAAAAGTAAAAAAACATCGGCCGGGGCAAACTTTTTATGCCCTCCACCTTAGGGTAAAGTAAACATTAGATGAAATGTGGCAAAAACCATTAAAATGTCGAATATCGGGAGGTGCCATTATATGGGGGCTATACCAAATCGTGGACCTACAAAGGAGCTAGAACCCATTATGACCTAGAAATACCAATTTTCAGACAAATCCGTGAAAAAATGTGTCAAAAATCATCAATTTACCGAATATCGGGAGGTACCGTTGTATGGGGACTATACCAAAACGTGGACATATACATACAATGTTTCGCCACACGAACTAGGACCCATTATGACCCACAAATACCAATTTTTAGACAAATCCGTGAAAAAATGTGGTAAAAATAATCAAAATACCGAATATCGGGAGGTACCTTTATATGGTGGCTATACCAAAACGTGGACCTATACATGTCATGTTTTGCCACACGAACAGGGACCCGTTTTGACCTACATATACCAATTTTCAAACAAATCAGTGAAAAAATGTGGCATAAATCATCAAAATACCGAATATCGGGAGGTACCGTTATATGGGGACTATACCAGAACGTGGACCGATATATCTCATTTTCAATACCAAATATCCTAGACACAATACAAATTGCTCTGCTAAGCCACAATTGTTTAAGCCACAATTGTTTTGGATGTGCAACCAATCTCTGCATCCCATGAAACACAACAAGATCGACCTACAGAAAATTCAGAAAAAAAACTGGTTTAAAAGTCGTCTAAACATAACTAACTGTAAAGGCGGGTGCGGTAAAAACGTTATTCCACAGGGTTAACGTTTTCAGGAACTTAAGGGGGAAAGGAGCCATATGAGGATTGTTACAATCATTATTACAGAGATCCCCTTCAGAACAGCAGCAACAGCTTGGGTGCCACATCCAATTTTGGGGATGATAAAGACTCCGGAAGGTAAAGAAAAAATGACACGAAAAATAATCTCATAATCTTTCGGATAAACGACTGAACCACAAGAAATAGAGAAGGCAACAAATAAAGAAAACTAGATTCTTACATTGGGCGCCATTTTGATCTTGAAACAAATATGTCTCACTTCCAATCAAAGCAACTCCATAAAATAACTTCCCCCGCAACCGTATTATTACAACACAACAAAATACACTTCTATTTCATAATGCTGGTTATTCTGAATAAAATCTTGTCCTTAGACCACAATCGGTGTACGAACATCTAACGTTTTACTGTCGGTCAGCGTTGATGATAGCGAACACGATGTATTGTTGTTATTAACATTGCTTTCAATATCGGCATCATCATCATCATTGCTGGTGCCATTTGTACGTGTGGCTGTAGCTGTTGTTGTTGTAATGGTTGTTGATGCACTGGTGATGGTTGGTGTTGTTGTGGCGGGCGATGGATTATTGTTATCTTCGATGGTAAAGAGTACGGCTGCCGCTGATGATGGTATCCGATGGACCTCAACAATTTCCGTTATGGTCATACCTTCATCATCGTCGGTCTCGAGCTGAGAATGAGGATAGTACAACTGCAACTGAGGCGGTTGACGATACTGTTGGCTGACACGTTTGATGATCTCACAAAATGGCGGCGTCGGTGTACGTACACCATACATCGAGGATGAAGATGTCGCTGAACTGGTGGATGGTGTGACAATGATCTCTTCGAAAATCGGTTCAATCTCATCCGTGCTGATCGGTGAGAGATTGGTGGTAACGGTCTTGGAAGTACTACTACTGCTGTTCGATGAGTGGGTCAACTCGTTCAGTTCGGCCATCATCTGTTCGAAACGAACATGGGCCACCTCATCACTATCGTCCTCGGTGCCGGCATTGAGAGCATAGTAGAGATTCAGATCGGCTTCGGTGCCGAACACACTCTTGAATTGTTGAAATAGTTTTTGAGTCTCGGTGTCGGCGGTGTTATTGCATTGGCCAATATCGCCCTCCAGCTGATATTGTTGTGGCGGTTCGTTTGTAGTCCAAATAAAAAATTCATTTGAGCAATCTTTTTCACTTCGTTGACCTCGTCAAACTTTTTCGGTTGTTTTCGATTTGGTTTTTGAGGGTGTTAAGTTGGTGGGAAAACTGCAAAGACAGAGAATGTTAGATAATATTAATTTGATCAATCTAGGATCTGGGATACCCACCCTTTGTTCATGGAACCGGTTTGTGATTCTTCATTACCGGTCTTGGAGGTTTGCGTTTGCGTCGAAGACATATTATTTTTACTGAATGGTGCCTGGAATGATGTTGATGTAATGGTGAAATAACCACCGGGTTTCGGTTTCAAATGTCGATTATTGATTTGCATATGTACAGTCTTTATAAATTCAATTTGATGAGCTAATTTTTGGATTTGCTCCTGCAAGAGGTGGGAGATAAATACGTATGGTAAGAAGTAAAGTAAGAAGCGAGTTTAATCTTACCTTAAGTTCCTCATTTTCCTGATATAGATCAGGTGATTCATCTGGCACCAATCCCACACCATTTAGGGAGAACGATGCTGTTATACTCCTCACCTTGGCCTTTTGATCCCATTTATCACCTTGCCCCTTGAAGATTCGTGATATTTTGGGACCAAACACCAATGCAATGGTAGTGGTGGTCGATAACTGAGTTCGTATAAAACCCAATGTGTACTTGATATCAGGTCCAGCTTCTGGGTATATCAAAATGCTGTAAATTAGAAGAGAGAAGGTGAGTCTGTTGGAGTGGGATTGCAAATGAGTGTAAAAAATGCATACGAATCGGTGGAATTCCGTTGGGCGCCATTATAAAATTCTATAAACAGAATGACCTTACATAAAATAAGTACTTTCATCACAAAATTAACTTTCAAAATATCTCCTAGGTGTAACAGGAAGCATAAATCCAACAAAGAGAGACAGAAACTGTTCTGCACCACATTTTGCCACATTTAATTTTTGAGAATGAATGGATGATCCCATAAACGATCTGAATAAACGAATAAATATTCGAATATCTCCAGGTGTCTACCTCGTGTGAAGGACGCGACTTATATGAGACAACAAATAAAGAAAAGTTAGACTCTTACGTTGGGCGCCATTTGATCTTCCGTATTATTATAACACAAACAAAATAAATTGTCCTCTATTTCATAATGCTGGTTATCCTGCAAAAAATACTTCCTTAGACGCAAAACATATAAAGAAAATTAGAGTCTTACGTTGGGCGCCATTTTGATCTAAAAATAATATCATTCTTCCAATCAAAGCATCTCCATAGTTGAACTTTTCTTCCGCATCATCCTCCTAATGCTGGCTTTACTGAACAAAATCCTCCCTAAAACTACAATCGATGTACGAACATCTAAAGTTTAACCATCGGTCAGGTTGATAATAGCAAACACAATGTAAAATATTAAAAAATGTGAGAAGTGCGCTTTCTAAGACTGGTAAGGCTCTTTTTAATCCGAAGAGGCCATATAAAAGTCGACCAAGGCGATCGGTCCCCAAGAACATCCCAAAAACGCCGTTCTCAGCAGTTGGGCATAGCTCGGTTCACTTTACAACGGATTATTCGCATTGATTTGCATTTGTTCCCGTACAAAATTCAATTGACGCAAAGAATGTTGCCTGCGGACAAGCCTCGTCGATTGGAATGGGCCCAAAGAGTTATGGGTCCGTCGAATATGGGCAACCCTGTAACTGTATTTAAGGTTTTTGCCTGTTTTGAGGTGAGAATACATAAAACGCCTTTTTTGATCGGCTGGCTTCTTCGTAGAGGAACAAAGGAGTCTTAGGTTGACTTAGTTTGATTTTGGGCCTACGTCCAGTCAGCCAGTCAAAAAAGCGTTTTATGCATTTCACCTTTAGTCATATTTTTTTTACAGAATTTGCAATAAATAGGCATTTTATGTTTCCACATATGTAGTAGATATTCTTGCAGATAGCTGTCCATATAGTTCCAAGTTTTGGTATAACCCCCATATAACGGGACCTCCAGATATTCGGTGTTTCGATGATTTGTGACACACAATTTGGTATTTGGAGTTCGCACTTGATGCTATTTCCTATGACAGAAAATTGTTATTACAAGTCCACACTTTCGTATAGGCCCCATATAGCGGAACCTCGCCATATTCCGCATTTTCAGGATTTTAGCTTAATTTTTTAGCAATTATTTCAAATTTAGCGTTTTGAGATCCCAATGTGTTAAGTGAAATTTGAAGGGTCTCCGATGACTATTTCGCATTTTATGAGAGATATAATTATTCAAAATTTCGACCCGTTGTGCGGAAGGTACTGGAAGGAATAGTCCGATATGATCTTGTGTTGATAAAATATTAAGATGTACAAAATTTTATTAGAAATATAGTTAGTCAATATTTTGACCCGTTGTGGGGGAGGTATTAGAAGGAGTGGTATAAGAAGGAGTGGTAAGAGTATAAAAATATATTCCATTTTCGCACCACATCTTGTTTAAGTAGAAATATTGAGATGAGTGAAATTTGAAGAGAATTGGGTGCTTAATTCGCATTTTATGAGCGTTTTGATTATTCAAAATTTTGACCCTTTGTGGGGGAGGTACCAGAACGTTTGCACCGATATATCCCATCCTCACAGCAGTTCTTGTGTTAGTAGAAATAATGGGATGTATGAAATATGAAGAGAACCGCATGCTTATCTCGGATGTTATAATAGTTTGATTTGTCAAAATCTTGAACCCTATTTAGGAGAGGTACCAGAAGAAATGGTCCGGTCTCTTTCATCTTCATACATTATCTTGTTTTGATAGAAATATTGGGATTTGACAAGTTTGAAAACAATGGAGTGGTTCTTTTGTGTTTTATGAGCTTCATGGTTATTCAAAATTTTGACCCCTTTGTGACATCTTCACGTCAGATCTTGTGCTGGTAGAATTACAGGGGTTTGTGAATCGGACTTTATTTTCACAATTAATAAAATTATGCAAAATTTTGACCCTTTGTGTGGGAGGTACTTGAATTTGTGTGCCGATAAAGTCCACATAAGCACCTGATCTAGAACTTCCATCATATTTGGATTTGCAAAGTTGGAGCAAAATCGGATGATCCTTTCTCTTTTGAAGAAGCAAGATATTTTATGTTTCATTATTTTTTTTTGGTAATGGTACCAAATGGAGTGGACCGATATTACCCATCTCCGAACTCGAACTAAGTTTGGTATAAAATTACGATGTAGCAAGTTTGAATCAAATCGGATACTTTCTTGAAGAATTTGCATGCGCACCAGCCAGACAGGCGGACGGACACCTCTAGATCGACTCCATATGTCCTAAAATGGATATGGTCCAAAGGGGCCTAGGGTCTAAAACCATTATTTCGATGAGGCACATTTTGACCGCATCAAATGATATAGACCCTCTGAAGCCATATGAGGTTGAAGGTATAAAAATGGAAGGGTATAAAAAGTCCTGCCTTTATTTTCCCATGAACATAAATTAGTCTTATTTTATGGAAAAGCCTCAGACCGAGTCAGGTAAAAAGAAACTGAACCTTCAAATATGAAAATGCGGTCATAATTAGACATAATGACATTTTTCTTTGAAAATCGAAATGACACATTTTATTGGAAGACCCTATAGAAGGCTTATAAAAGGGGTGTTTTTTTCATTTTAAGAATAAAAGAAGAAGAGTCTCCTACAAAAGATCAACTTTTATATGGAATCTCCAAAAAAATCCTCTTTTATAAAACGATTTATGACCTATTTTAAGTTTATAAAAATACCGCATATTCAACAGGCATCTAAGTCCTTAATTGACACAATTCCATATAAAGCTTTTAACTCCCTTTGTCTTCTTTTCCGTGTCACGTCGCACTGCTGCACCAGTGCTTAAGTTCTATTCATAAATTCTATTGGCTATCCCTTCTTTATGAATAATATAACGCTAATGATGTTACTAACCCAATTCCTGGCTGTTGAACAAAAGTTACCGAACACTTATAAAGTGAAGCGAGTGCACACACACACACACTCTCTCCCTGTTGCACACTTTAACTTCGAAGTATGTCGACGGACGACCGACAACTAAAATTTATGAATACTTACTGTAGTGCCACCATTGCCGTATTAACAATGGCAATATTATAAATGGCATAAGAAATGAGACGAGCCTCATTGTACAACGATTCCGCATTGCGGACATTGTAACAGACACGTATGCCCCAGGCCAGGAAAAGAACTTCACCAATGGCCAAGCTATGATCCCACCAATTATATGAGCATTGCTTGAATTTGAGACCATGCTGGTCATTAATCTGGAAATAAATATGAAAGAGAAAACGAAGAAAAGAAAATAAGTGGGTTAAGAGAAATTTACCGCGAATAGAAAAAGAAATGGAACAGAATGGGAATGCAACTTACATAAACGGCATAGGGTGTATCACTAATTGTCCATGTACCCAAATATATAAGCATTACCAATAGAATGGGCACCATCCATTGTAGCAGCTGTTGATCGGTAAGTTTGACTTTGTGGGCCGATTTAACGCGATACGTTAAGGAGACCCTGTAACGCAATGGGTTAATAAATTAAAATGAAATTTAATGGATGTAGTGCCACTTACCTCCATGTTTTCATCAGCAACGATGTATAAGTTATACAAAAGCCCATGTGTCGGGTCCATTTTGTGGCAACACACCATGTTGTATCCAAATAGGGAAATATGGCAACCATCTGCAATGAAGAATGTGTTTTTAGTCGGGTAAAATTCTTATAATATTATTCCATCAAAGAAATTATTACTAAAGGATGTTTTTTTTAAGAGCCACTGGAATTTTTTCAAAAGAAAAAAAACCGACAAAATCAGAAAAATCCATGAAATCTTTATTTGAAGTGACAGTATTGATATAATTTAATTTTTGAAGATTATTTCATGCAAATGTTCACCACGATTAATGGTCCATCCGCTTAGTCCAATTTTGGCATATTTTTCCAACATATCGATCAGTAT